GGAAAGGGACATACATTTTGAGTGCCTTTATTCCATTAAATATGCACTGTATTAGTTGTATGCTAATTAGAGAATGAGTTTGTAGTTCTTTACTGATATACAGCTGTTAATTATTACGCTTGCTTTTGTAAAGAAGCATGCACTGAGAGAATTTCTTTGCTACGGTTAGTAAAAATCCATTAACCGTAGCAAAATATCTGCATTAAATTCTTGCTGGAAGGAACTCACTTGCAGTAAGTAGACAGTTTTGCTATAATCTCTTTGATACCTCTAGTAAGTCAACTCATTAACCACAAATGACTCAACTCATTAACCCCAAACGAGTGAACTCATTAACCCCAAGCGAGTTCTCATTAATCCTAAGCGAGTCGACTCATTAACCCCAAGCGAGTGAACTCCGTATTTACTATTTTTCGGTGTTGTTGGCTCTCCTCACTCTTTCGTGCACCATGCAATGCAACTTAAATGTTGTACATATTTTCAAACAAGCATAAAATGGAAATCCCCGTTCGAGAAGTAAGAGTTTGTATCCAGTCTGCATTGTGTGCATGTAATCACGCATGCATATAAGTATTATTGCATACCTACGCAAATACCCTAATTGAAAACTTTCTGTCGGTTGTTAGACAACTGAAAACTGACTCAACACTCGATCACAAAACATCTATTTATTATAAAGGACCCATCGACTAACGATTGACGAACGTATATCCAGTGCTTACGTGTTACAGCAAAATGGCGATACCTCTAACTTCTCTATGGACGAAACCATGGTCAGTATAAGGAACGCGTAATCGCGCATGCGCTCTGAGCCGAATTCCGGTTTATTCTGGAAATTATTAAGTGAGGCCTCAGTTACAGTAAGTGAGCCCTAACTTGCTACAAATTAGTACTGACTAACCCCAATTGGATCAATTCTAAAAAAGTACATTCACTTACCCGAGCAAAGCAACTCACTTGGGACAGATATACAGTTGACTAAAATAAAATTTCAACTGAACTATCATATAGCCACAAAACTTTTTTATGTTGTATTAGCAACACGTTTCAGCAAAACGTACCTACTTGTGGCAGCATGAATTTTTTTCTGTGAGTGCAAAAATTTTACCTACTGTAGCTAAAATATCAGCAAAGTCCCTCACTTGGTGGATATCTTTCAGTGTGGGAGTTAATTTTCACAAACCAAGAGGACTTTCCAAAACACTTCCCACACCACTGTCTACAAATAGGTAACAAGAAATCTTATGACTTTTGACTATGTGCAATAAATTTCATTTAGAAATTTATAAACTTTATTTGTAATAAGAAATCATATAATCCTTAAAATAAACATAACATTCTTTGGTAACATAAAACACAGTTAACAATTAAATAATAAATTTTGCAATTGCTACAGTCCACAACGTGATGTTATTATACTATGTTTTTTTAAAAAGGCACCTGATTATAAAAACATTATTTACAATTACATATATACAAACAGTCTGAAACTTTCATTTAAAAAATCTTTATGTAATAATTAGTAATCTCTTAATATATTACAATATCACAGATATTTACTTCCTTATATATATTAACTTTGTTTTGAAAAACTAGATATGGAAAATATTTCGAAGTTTTGAACAGTACTGAAAGTAGCTGAAAAACTGGCCTATGTTTTACAATTGGCACAAAATTGTGATAAATTTAAAACAACTTTTCTATGTACTCAACATTTTCATAGTACCTAATTACTACAGAGATTAAGGTACATCCAAAATTATCATTAAGATTTGTAGGTATTACAGTTGCTCATTTTATGCACACGTCATGTTAATAATATCAGTCAAATTTTACAAAAAATCTCTGTTGATTAATAATAAAAGTATGATTAATGGGAACAGGTAGTTAATGAAGTTGACGTGATTGCTTGTACTCGCACTAACTTGGGTATGAACCACACTGGCTACTGTTAAGGAGCTTAAACTTAATTCACTGGCAATCCGTGGACTTTGCATGTTCACTAAACTTGCGATTTTTTCAGCTTCTCTTATGCAAGCTTCGAGTTGAAGCTCTGATGGGTATCTAAAAAAAAAATATTTAGTAAATATATCGTGAATTTACATGACGCACAAAAAAGTAAATGCAGCAGTAATAAGTAGTACTCATGCAGTAAAAACTGCTATGATTACAAAATATAATTGTTTCAGAAATAAAATAAAAATAATGTCCTACAAAGAAAATGGTTTCTGCAAATTATACACGGTGGTCAAGAAATTCTAATTGGATATAATGAACAAAATGAGCTTAACAAACATCTACAGACGTCTAAAATATAGCAGAAATAAAAAGATAAAAGCTCAAGGTATGTAGAAATTAAAATTCGATTCAAAAGTTTAAATTATTATTATTTACTGGTACTCATTAATATGTCTGAATAAATGGCTAACTTACCTCTCTGTACTCTGCACAGTTACAAATATATCTAATTCCACTGTTACAAAGCCTCTCAATGTGCATTGAGCTAACTGAATTTGACGTTCTAATGCACGCAGAACTGATATGAGATTCAACGACTTGGTTGTCTGATTCTGTAAAGCATATAAAGCCCTGTCTATTTGTTTTCTTGAGTATAATATGCGGAGTGATCCTCCACAAATTGGACAGCATGCCCCAGGAGGTGTAATACCTACAATAAATAAATATGATACCTTTTAATACATCTCAAGCACCAATACATATGACTACAAACAAAGGTGACACACAGATAATGACTTCATATGACCTAGGATGTCACACAAAGACAGTACATGCAAACACCTACACCTAAATACCATGAAAATAAATACGCCACAGACACAAAGATGTCTTGCTATAAATACGCTTAGACAATGATGCCACAAACACAAAAATTCCACAGTTAATAATACTACAGAAAAGGTTACAACAAAGATGAAACAGACATAGAGTATAATACTGACAAAGAGGCCATAACCAACAACACCACACAGACAATGGCCACATGTCATAGACAAAGATCGCAGACAATATAACTGTAGGGGAGATAGGGGAGCATTGGGCACTTTTCTACTTAAATCAAAATAAAACTGTTATTTTTTAATAAAATCAACTATTTATTTCTAATATCAATGGCACATACAATTGACTCAAATTATTGCGACGAATAGTTATACAAATGTAATCAGTCTCAAAGTTACATGATATTTCCTGAACCTTGCCATAAGTGCCCAAACCTCCCAATGGTTGGGTGGTTTGGGCACCTCTGTGGGAGGTTTGGGCATTGTATTGCATACGCCACATAATACCTACTAAATTATTTTGATATGTTATAACTAAAGTAACTTAACAAATAATAAAGATTAGATGCTCAAAAATCAGTATTCTTACATAAATAATAAAACTTATCTAACATTTGGTATAACCCAGATAGGCTTATTAAAAGTGTATTTGGAGTTGCCACGTTTGATCCATATTTTTGGTTGTGGCAATTTAGTTTTAATGTCTGTTAATGGGACACTTGAAATGTCTTCGATATCGGGATACATAAATGTATTTCGAATCTTGCTCATACGCAGAAATTTAACAGTTGCCATGGAGGGATCAACTTCTTTAATTTGTCCAACATAGTGATAGGTAGTTTTTTTGGTGTCAAATTTGACCAAGACATAATCGTTGACTTTGAAATTTCGATCTAAAATAATAACATCATCTTCGTCAAACGATTCTTCTTCTGATGATTAATAATGGTGGGAGCATTGGGCATGCCCAAACCTCCTTTCAATATTAGTGCCCAATGCTCCCCATACCCTCGTTTTGCAAATTAATCCAAATATACATTTTATTATTCAAACATTATGTATCAATTTATAGGTTAATATTATCTTCGATAAACACACATTTACGTATAATCAAAGAAACTTACGCCTTTTCACAGATTGCTCTGTTATTTCCCTTAAAATCACAACAAAATATTTACTTTTGGGTGCACGAAACCGTCAACCGCATGACACACTGACAACTAAACGAAATGACAAATGACATTAGTCTAAGCAGTGTTGCCAGTTGTCAAACTAAACTACCACAGTATACAAAAATAAATATCTACTACACGTCTCTAGTTACAAGGTGGTGCCCGAACCTCCCGACTGCCCAATGCTCCCCTATCTCCCCTATACAAATATGTCAGTTAATAACCAGAGAACGATACAGACAAATATCTTATGTGTTACAGATGGTACAAACAGATAGTAGGAACTTTTTTGTTTGTTTTCCGGAGTGAAAAAAACCTATTTTTACAATTTGTTTAAAAAAGTTTGTTTAAACAAATGGGCGAGTTGAAGCTCTGATGGGTATCTAAAAAAAAATATTTAGTAAATATATCGTGAATTTACATGA